CCCGGATCCGGACCGACCCCGCGCCTGCGCCGGGCGGGCGGGCTGGCGGGACGCGGGCCCCGGCTTCCTAGAGCTGCGGGAGGAGGCGCTGGAGCGGGGAACCCAGCACCCTGCACTTGAGCTGCACCCTCCGCCTGGCGCAGGGTGAAAGCGGGGGAGCATGCATCTGTGCGGGGAGGAAGCCCACCTGCCCGTGCACCTGCTTCGGGAGGGACAGGGAGCCCCCAGCGCCTGGGCGCCGCCTCCTGCTTGCGGGAGAAAGCCCTTGAGCAGGTGGGCAGAGGCAGCGGAGATAGAACTAGAGCGGCTCTGGAGGGGCGCGCCTCCCGGGAGTGGGATCCGCGTGATGGCCGGGGTTAGCCTCGAAGGAGAGGAGCTTCCTTTCTGTGGGGGAAGCCGTTTGAGTCGAGGCTTGAAGGATAGAGAAGGCTGAAAGTACCGTGCACTAGACGTACTTTTAGGGGCTGAGGAAGAAAGGTTGAAAGTTTGAGGCCAGCCTGGCCGCCTTGCTGTGACCCTGAGTCAAGTGAAAAGGGCTGGGGATATGGTCAGTACCAGACTGCTGCCCTGGTATGTGAGCTTCTGGGTTCCGTGCCCCGTATTGCAAAAACACACCGCACGATCTCCATATAGAGGGTCCGTAAGTGCAGAGCCCCGGCATTGTAGTAGCTCCCATCTGTTTCGGAGGGGTTGGGGTTGGTAGAAAGGGCCCGGTGGAGGCTGCTGCTCTAACCCCCACAGCCTAGAGATGAGGAAGAAGCCGTCCAGAGCCTCCCTGGGGAAAGGAAATGATCGAGTGGCCCGGGTGCCAAAGCAGGTCGACTTCCTGTTTTTTGTTTTGTTTGTTGGGTGTTTTTTGTACTGGGAATCGAACTCATGACCTCGTGTTTGCCAGGCAGACACTGTGCCACTGAGCCATATCCCCAGCCCTGCCGCCTGTGTTTTGAGAATTTAGTGCCAGGAATGGTTCTTACAACTTAACTGGTTGGAAGCGGTATTTTGAAGGGCGGATTTCAGTCTCCGTAAATGAAACTTCACTGGGACTCAGTAGGGCCCATCTCCGCTCACCTGGCCCCTGGACCGGGGCTGCTTTCACCCAGCTGTGCAGGGCCCAGTCATTACAGAGAGGAAGTGTCGCATGGAACCTAAAGCGCCAGCTCCTTGCCCAGAGAAAGACTGCAGTGTCTGCGGTGGCGTGGGGTTCAGTGGGCTGTGGTGGCGACAGACCTCATAGGAGTGGGGCTTCCACGGGCCGGGAAGGAGGCCTGGCTGAGAGCTGCGCGTGGAGCTGGGTACTGAGGGTGTTGGTGGGTTTACGAGAGCCTAGGGAGGCAGTTTTTGCGTGAAATACCCTTGTTGGTGCTGTGCCCGGCTGAGGACTTCGTGTGCACAGGCCCCAGGTTCAACCCCCGGCACCTTCAGGGAGGGGACGTGAACCACCAGCCCCTTACCTCCTGGAGAGCACAGCTTCAGTCCGACTGCCCCAGCCCGAAGCCGGACCTCCTGCCCCGGTGCTGAGCAGCCTCCCTCGCTGTGACAGAGGCGCAGTCAGCACACCCTGTGAGCCAGCCAGAGGATTATGGCAGACCTCCTGGGAACCACATGGGAGGGGGCACTCGGTAATCCCCCAGGGGGCGTGTCAGCTGGATGGCGTGCTCTGCCCTTCATTTTTCTTTTCCCCCTGCCCTTTAACGTACTGTAGAAAGGATTTCTGAAAGTATAACCTTTTCCCTGCCCTGTAAAAGGTGGAGAAGGACTGTACTCTCAGGCCTGCAGTGATTATCTTTATTTTGAATGGATCTGACAGAACTTGCATGCTTTTGAGCCGTAATTAATGTGGAGATGAAGAGAAGTGCGCTCTGCCACAGGATAACTGGCCTCGCTGTCCAGGGGGCCTCTCCTGCTGGAAAGATGCCCGAGAGCCAGGACAGCAGGCCCCAGGGTGCTGTGTGATTGGCTGCAGGTGTTTTGTAAAGCCGTTCTCGGGGCACTTGAGGTGCTTTGACCATAGATCACATGTCTGATGATCCTGTGTTGATGGAACATTTCTGAGGTAATGGTGACAGCATTGTGATCGTGTAAAGGAATGTCGGAGTTTTTAGGAGTTGGGTGATGAAATCTTGACAGCAGAAGAGGACGCTACAACTTATTTTCAAGTAGTTCAGCCGAAAGTATTTTATGTTTTTATCAGAAAAAAGAAAACTAGAGATCTAAATTAGGGACACAGAGTGTATGTTTTAGGGTTCTTAGAACTATTGTGTAAAGTTTGAAGTTTTCTGATGAGAAGAATTAGGGGCTGTACATCATCTGCTGAATGATGCACTAAATCTCTTGAATACCTGTAATGAGTTGGGTTTTTCGGTCTTTGTGAGACAAAGTCTCGCTGTGCAGTTCATCCTGGCCTTCGCCTCACTTTGTAGGCCAGGCTGGCCTTGAACTCGCAGCAGTCCTCTTGCCTCAGCCTCCCAAGTGCTGGTATGACAGGTGTGCGCCACCATGCCCAGCCACATAATGAGATATTATTCAGCGCAAACACCTCAGTGCTGATGAACCTTGAGAACACATGAGTGGGTGCGGGCCGCCTGGTGAGAGCCTCCCTTGTGCAACCCCTCCACCTGGGAAATACACAGACCTGGCCAGGGTAGGTGGGTGAGTGGCATGGCCAGGCAGCGATGGGAGTGACTGTGGGCCACGCTCCTCACAGGTAAATGTTTGTCTCTGTAAGCTGTTGTCCCACGGAAGTCGTGGGGCGGAGCTCAGTGCCCGGTAGCAGGCCTTGTGCGTCACACCAGGTGTTGGTGGGCTCTGAGGGCACTTCACAGGCTGTCCCAGTCCCCATCCCGGGGTGCTGGCTGTTTGAGGCGCCCCGGGGCGTGGGTTGGTACCCTGCTCTGGCCCCTCCGGCCCTGGGGAATCTGCATTTTGAAGGAATCTGCATTGCTCCTGGGTCTGGCACCCCTGCTTCTCCACACGGGCCTCCAGTGGCTTCCGAGTGAGGGGAGGGTCAGCTGTGCTGGTGGCTTTGGCAGTGGGTGTGAGCCAGCGAGGGAGGGGCAGGAATCTCCCTGAACCAGAGCTTCACCTTCGCAGAGGTCGTGAGTGCTCTCGATGGGTGGACCCAGCACTGGTGTCCTCCTTTTAATTTTTATTTTCATTAGCACGTGTTTGCAGTGCATAATGATCACATTCATCTGGGGAGTTGGGACATGTACACATCTTTATTCTGTTTATGAATCTCCCGTCCCCGGGATTTGAAATGGTCATCTGAAAGAGGAAAAGTGTACCGTGCAGATGAAGAGAACAAACAGTGCATTTGTCCTCAAGGGAAAACACTGCAGTCCTGTGCGCTGTAAGGAATTTCTCCAAGTCAGGCAGCCGTCTGACTCACTGCAGGCCATTAATCCCTCAGCCCTGCTTCTCCAGATCGATTTCCGGGGTGTCATTTGACCGGTCGCTTGAAGGGCTGTTTACCCTTGCTGGGCAGGCGGCAGCTGCTCGCGCGGTGACATCATGCGGCGGACCGAGCAGGAGGCGTGTGCTGTGCCCCTCTGGCAGCCAGCTCCCGCCCGCCCGCACAGCGGTGGCCGCTGTGTGGGTCCCCGGCCCTAAGAACAGCCTTCGCTTTGTGAAGCGGTTCTGGTGCAGGACGCTTGGAGGCAGAAGCCCACTTCCAGGCCTCAGGAAACGAGGGTGAATGGACTCTCGAGGTTACAATTCTGCCCGGCTGGTTGAACATGAATCCTTCCCTTCCTTCACTGGAAGATGAAACAGTCCAAGGGTGCGGGAGACGTGGGCAGCACGCTGTGAGTAATGGACGGCTGGTGACGCGCTTTGGTTCCTGTGAATCACAGCTCCCTCGGATCACAGTGTTTCCTGGGCCCCACCTTCCCTTCTCAGTTTGTCACAACAGTTACTTTTTCCTTCTCAGCAGTTTTAATTGTTTTCTCTATAATGATTGTTCACAAGTTTTCTTCTGGTCTGTTTCCAGTATAGCATGAGCATTATTTTATTTATTTGTTTATTCTGGAACTGGGAATCTAACCTAGGACCTCACCCTCGCCAGGCAGGCACTGTGCCCCTGAGCTGGACCTGGCATAAGCATTGTTGATGCCCGCAGTGAGGTATGTGTAAGGGCGTTGGGTCACAGGCGCAAGGGATTCTCAGCACAGACTGTATTCCGTGATGATGCCAGCATTTGGTGTTTAGACACTGTTCTACACTGACCTGCATGGCGGGGGGAATCTAACTCTAGAGAATGTGTAGTTTATCTAATACTTAGATTTTCAGTCTGTGATGATCATAACCACATAATTCACTCAAACATGGTAGGAGTACTTATCATTCTGAGTTGAAAATAATAAACTTTGAGGAGCACTGAATTTTTTTTTTTTTTTTGGTACCAGGAATCGAACTCAGGACCTTGTGCTTGCCAGGCAGGTGCTTATGCCACTGAGTTATATCCCCGGCTCAAGCACTCAATTTTGACTGTATGTTTTATACCCTTACTGTGATCTTAATAGACCCCAAAGTACTGTATTAGGTGATATGACTGCTACAGAGATGCTTATCGCATATTACAGTTGGTTGTTTCAGGCCCACTTCAGACTTTTTATTTTGTGGAGCCCGTTGTTGCGGATCAGAAAGCAGGAGGGTTCTGACCTTTACCATACCTAGTGGCATCAGATGAGACAAGTTCCTCAGGCTACAGAACCAGGCAGTCTTGATGAGATCCACAGTCAGCCTTTAGTGAGTTTGCCAAAAAAAATTTTTTTCATGAAGTGAAACTTGGTAGAAACATCTGTGGCTAGGGCAGGGCCCACCCTTGCCGTGCTCGCTGAGAGTGAAGCCCAGGCAGGAAGGGAGGCGGAGGGCTGTGCGCGCCCCAGCGAGCTAATGCTTGCTGGCAGTGCCAGGCCCCGGGGAAGTAGGCCTGTCGACCTTACCTGCCTGTGACCCTGCCTGTATTTGTCTGAGTCCAGGAAGTTAGTGATTTTTGAGACTTACACGAGTCCCTGCTCGTATCAGAGTTCTTCCTGACCCCTTGGATGGACGCCCTGATGTAGAAGTGGCCTGTGGGTTTAGTTTTCGTCGGTATTGAGGAATCTCAGGAGCCCAGCTGCAGTAGGTACGGGTGTCCTCAGCGCTCTGCTTTGGGGCTGAGTCTGTTTGCCAGGTCCCTGTGGCACTTGGATGTAGCTCAGGAGGATATGGAGCTATGAAGACGTGTTGTAAAACTTGCTGTGAGTGGATGTCAGCTGGGAGGTCGGTTCCCAGCTTGCTTACCATGCGGGCTCGAACGTGGGTCTCGTGACTCACCCCAGGTGTCCGAGGTGGGCAGGTGGTCTGCATGCTTTGCATCCTGAGGGATTTTCTGACATTTTTGTGTGCAGCAGCTTGCGGTCGGGCACGTCCCGTCTGGAACCCTTCAGTGTACCTGAGACATTGTTCCATCGCATGGGGATGGGGATGCATCGCTGTGTGCGCTCTCGAGGACACGCGCGGTGGTGGGTGCGCCCAGCTCCCCAGGAGGCCAGGCGAGCCTGACCTCACAGCTAGTCCCCGTCTCAGGAAAAGGAGGGAAGGAGAAAACTCAGAAGACAGAGGTATCACGGGTTTTCAAGCATGTTTCCTCCCTGTTATTTTAGGTCAAAGATCGCGGTCCAGAGGCCACGAGGAGGTTTTTTAACTGGTTTTACTGGAGCATTAATTTGGGAGCCATCCTCTCGCTAGGAGGCATTGCCTATGTGCAGCAGAATGTGAGCTTCTTCGCCGGCTACCTCATCCCCACGGTGTGCGTGGCTGTGGCTTTCGTGGTGTTCCTCTGTGGCCAGAGCGTCTTCATCTCCAAGCCCCCGGATGGCAGTGCCTTCACCGACGTGTTCAGGATCCTCGCATACTCGTGCTGCTCGCAGAAGCGCCGTGGAGCCCGCCCAGGTGGCAGGTAAGTGCTCTGCCTTCCTAGCTCGAGTTTGGGGGCCCGCCAGCCACCGCAGATGACATCCCAGCTCACTGGCTCATGCCCCTGGGCCGGCGTGGGGGTTTCCAGTGGGAGGCCTGCTCACCCTAGTCTCCTGGAGGCAGCAGTGCAGAGTTCCACCCTAAGGGCTCCGGTCCCGCACACCCAGCAGCCTCCCCGCCGGCGCAGTCAGGAGCTGTGGGCTGCTCGGAGGCAGAGTGCACAGACAGGACCGTGCAGAGGGCGTGGGGAGGCAGTGCATGCTTTATCTGTGGTGCTGATTTCATCAGTGAACGCGTTCGTGGAAGACTAAGCGTTTGTTTGTGTCATTGGTGCCAGTGTTTCGGAAGCAGGCTGCAGCCTTTCTGCGGGGCAGCAGTCTGTTGGTCACCGGTGCTCTGGTATCGGGGAGCCACTGCCCTTGCACTCATGCGTGCATGCATGCATTCATTCATTCATTCAGGATTTTTGAGACAGAATCTCCTCTGTAGTTTAAGCTGGCCTAAACTCACTGTGTAGCCCAGGCTGACCTTGAACTTGCCACAATCCTCCTGCCTTCAACTCACTATGTAGCCCAGGCTGACCTTGAACTTGCCACAATCCTCCTGCCTTCGCCTCTGCAAGTGCTGGGATTACAGGTGTGCACACCACGCCCAGCAAAGGACGGTTCTGCTTTGCTTTTGCTTTGCTTTGCTTTGCTTTGCTTTGCTTTGCTTTGCTGGGGACCTTGGGCACGGTAGGCAAGTGCTCTACCACTCAGCTACATCCCCAGCTTGCATTTGCATGTAGACACAAGGTCCCGGCTGCACAATTGTGAGGTGCAGTTAGGTGAGGCAGGCCACCTCTGTTTATGTGAGACTCACTGCTTTAGTTCTGAGATCCGTGAACTCTGGGATTTTAGCTGTGTGCGCTCTCCCAGGACAAGCGCCAGTGGTGGGGTGCACCCAGCTCCCCAGGAGGTGAGGCAAGCCTGACCTCATGGGCCTGGGAACCCCACCACGTCCCAGAAAACTGTGACCTGTGGTCCTGCCGGTGCCAGAGTTGACAGGCCTAGCCGGAGAGCGCAGCAACTTTGCTTACTTGTTGATGTACACTTTACACACTGAAACCCATCCTTTCCAGCCGTACAGCTGTGACTTGTGACAGACTCACACAGTAGTGTCTCCACCGGCGCCCCATCCCGGGCAGTCTCAGACTTTTGTAGGCGGCCCCCTCAGATGCGCTGGTCAGCCTCAGAGCTCCTAATGTTCACTGAGTGGGAGCCACCCTGGCCCCCGCTGCTCCCCGCCTGGTCCCGGGCAGCGGGCTTGTTGCTGCAGGGCTCGTGCGGAGCCTGCTCGTGGTTGCCTCCTGCACAGTGCCCGTGTCTAGCACCCTGTTGTGAGAGATCTGAGGCTGTGCCTCGGAAGCTCCCGAGGCTTGGCCCCTTTTGCTGTGGTGGACGCAACCTCTGATGCTCTGAGTAGTCTGACAGGTTGACTTACCTACTGGACCTGCTGGAGATTCAGGGGGTCATTGTGACCTTCAGACCCATAATTTAAAACTTTGAGTCACGAGGCACATGAAGAAATTTTTGAAAATTCATTGCCCTGTTCGGCAACAGACACTAATATTTTGCCAGAGTCTCTGTTTATTAGACCAAAGCAGTGCTTGAGCCTAGACGTTTGCTCTGTGGATCCAGTACCCACGCACAGTCCTGAGGTCCGTGTTTTCGAGGGCCTCATAGACTTCTGCAGGAGAACCACGTTGTTTCACAGTTAGCACAGGAAGCAAGGTTCGAGGTTGCTTTTATTTGGAAGCTGGTTTCCCTGAAGGTTTGCTTTTGGAAGTCATCTTGGGCAGAGATGAGGAAGCGGGGACCAACTCGCAAAGCAGCTGGTGGCCGGAGGGCTGTCAGAGTGCGGGCCTGTGTGAGCGCAGCAGGCTGGGGGCCCGCCACACCTCCCTGTCTCTTTTGCACCGTGGAGAGGGGCTGCTCTTACGGGACTGGTGCGAGGTGGACGAGCCTGTCACAGACGCCCAGGACCGGCTGGTCGGTGGTGGCTGCCGGGAGGCTGTGAGGAGAGGCTTTGGGGGCCCAGGGAGTGCACTGCCCCCACCTCACGTGTGCACCTCCACGACCTCTGGCCCAACCTCAGGGTCTGGTTTGGGCTGAGCTCTGCTGAGGATGTAGTCAGGCTGGTTTTAGGAAAACTGAAGGTCTGTCAGTTCCTTTCGTCACACTAGAGTGGGCCTGTCCCAGAAGCTCCTTCGAGACCTAGGCCTCTTGGAGCTCTGCCCTGGGGACAGCATCCTGTGCAGAGCCCTGAGCACACTCTCAGGAGGGTGACAGGCTCCTGCCTCTTCTCTGAGGTCTCTGTGACTGGCTTTGTGTTGGGTCCATGCTGACCAGGCGTGGTGACACACACCTGTAACCCCAGCACTTGGGAGGCTGAGGCAGAAGGATCTCCATGAGGTCGAGGCCAGCCTGGGCTGCATAGCGAGTTAAAGGCCAGACTGAGCTACACAGCAAGCAAGATCCTGTCTCAAAGGAAGGAAGGGAGGGAGGGAGGAAAAACAAAGTAGCGTGCTAACACCACACATGCACGAGCGCATACGAGGGCATACGGACTCAGCAGGCCCTAAGACATTTAGTGACAGGAAGTAAAATCAAACAGTTAGTAATTGGTGCAGGATGGATTTGTTGCTTGGCCTCCGAATGCTTTTGGGGGAACATCTGAGCGTGATGCACTGAATCACTGCCCGTGGTGTGCAGTAAGTTCATAAGGACTTTAAATTTGTTCTTTAGAAAGTAACCTGAAGAAGTAAACGTTTTCAAGTAAAATTTGAGTGCTCTCTTTGTAATTCAGAATTTGACTTTTCAGTGTGTTGCTTTTAATTTTCTTTACCGAAATATGGCTATAATGCTCAGCATTTATTTTCCCTCTCCCTCAAAGTACAGATTAAAAATGTCAGCTTTGTAGGATGAAAGTGATTTAAAATAGTGCCCCCTTTTAAAATGGGACCTGGGTTTATGAGCTGGAAAGGCCCCAGCTGCAGTGCCGTCTCCCCCAGTCCGAGTTGGACGCTGCCTCCCTGCTGATTTGCTGTCTGCTGGCAGTTTGGCTTGAGAGCCTCATGTGCATGTTCTTCCTGAAACCCTTGGATGCTCCCCTGCTAGGGTGTTAGGAGCTGGGAAAGACCTGTTTTGTGGGACCCGCTCATCTGATAGGACCAATTCAGGCTCAGACTGAGGGACAGATGCTAGCACGAGAGCCAGGGCATACTCTGAACTTGACCCTCAGCTGTGAGCGGATGGGCGGGGAGAGCACGGGGTCAGTGTGTCCTGCTGTGCCCAGGGCCACTGCTCTGAAACCAAGACCGCCTGGGTTTGCATCCTGGCCCCCTCGGAAGGCTGGTGACTGGGCACATGTGTTTCCCTCTCCGTGCCCCACTATCCTCTGTGAAATGGGCCAGTAAGACTTCGGGGACCTCTGGGCTTGTGGTCAGGGTTACTGGGTGCGTGCCTCGTGGCCACCGCAAGTTGCCCACTACTTTGCCGCCTGGCCAGCAGAGTCCGTTCCCTTCTGGGCCTCCCTTCACGTGAGGTCGGACGGCTTTCCCAGCACAGCACCCATCCGCCCAGTGAGCAGGCGCAGCTGTGCCCAGCAGATCACCACTGGTTGTCAGCCTCGATGTTTAGGTAGCTCATTGATCACCAGGTGTGGTTTCTCCCGAATCCCCGTCCAGTGCTGCTGGGGATTTGTGCAGCCTTGGCCGACACTGGCAGCTGTGGGCAGCAGGGATGACCGTGGAGCAGCAGCCAGCGCCGGCTCAGGGTGGCACCGCGCAGCTGCGGCAGCCTGTGCCTTCCAGCTCCCTGAAGTCGTAGCCACACTGGCCAGAGATCTTCCTGTTCTGCTGTGCTTAGAAATAGCTCAGCCATGTTTGGTGTTTGTAACTAGTAAGTCACAGAAGCAGCTAGGGCAGAGTCAGTTGAGTGAGCTGCCTTCTTACCCCCAAACTTAATTTGTTACCAGGTAATCGACTGCTGGTGTAGAAGAAAACTAATTCCTTCATTTTGTTTCCCAAAGTGAAGGCATTGGAGTCTTTCAGCACTCTTCTAAACAAAGTCTGTTTGATTCATGTAAGATGTCTCACGGAGGGCCGTTCACAGAGGACAAAGTGGAAGATGTGAAAGCCCTGGTCAAGATCGTGCCCGTGTTCTTGGCTCTGATCCCTTACTGGACAGTGTATTTCCAAGTGAGTGGTGGTGCCGTCCTCCCGGAAGTGCTGCGAGGCACCTGGTGCTTGGAGAGTTTCCCTGTGACACACTAAGATTTGGAGTTTTTAGTAGTGGGCTTCTTTGGCTGCTGTAAATATTTTGAAAACCTCTAGCTAGGATTTGGTGACGACCCTGTCCGCTTCCCAGCGTAGCACTGTGTGTCCCGAGGGTCCTCAGGGCCTCACCGGTGGGTGGGAGGTCGCCTGCTGCGGCCTGGGAGTGACGACCCTGTCCGCTTCCCAGCGTAGCACTGTGTGTCCCGAGGGTCCTCAGGGCCTCACCGGTGGGTGGGAGGTCGCCTGCTGCGGCCTGGGAGAGGCCCGGTGGCGCACACGGCGTGACTCACTCTGCTTTCTGTGCCCAGATGCAGACCACGTATGTCCTGCAGAGTCTTCACTTGAAGATTCCAGCAATCTCCAGTATTACAACCAACCCGCACACGGTGAGAGCCTCGGCCGGCGGCAGCTGACTGGGGGAGTACGTGGGCTCCTTCTGCCGCTGCAGGCCCGGGCGCCAGCGGTCGGTGCGCGCTCAGGGGAGCTGTGGAGGTCAGCCCTCCCGCTCATGGAGCGCGCTTCTCCAGTGGTCACAGCGTTTACTAGATGAGGTTGACGCACGTCGATTAAACGGATAGTCGTGTTTTCACCGGGTTTTCTGTCCCTACCCCCTTGAAAGCACAGGGACGCGGGCGCACGCTGCCCTGGAGAGCAGCTTGTGCGACTGCGGGGTCGGGGAGCGCTAGGGTGTGGAGGCGAGCTGTGCTTCCCCGGGGCGGGGTCCTTCCCGCCTCCTGGCCGCCGCCTCACCGCGCTGTGCTTGCCCGCAGTTCCCGGCCGCCTGGCTCACCATGTTCGACGCGGTGCTCATCCTCCTGCTCATCCCGCTCAAGGACAAGCTGGTGGACCCCGTCCTGCGGAGGCACGGCTTGCTGCCGTCCTCCCTGAAGAGGATCGCGGTGGGGATGTTCTTCGTGATGTGCTCCGCCTTCGCTGCGGGTGAGCAGCCTTTCCGCTCCTCGGCGCCTGTGCGATCGGGGTGGGCCGGGTGGGGTCGGGGGAGAACGGGTGGGTCGCTGGCTGCTTCCCCTTCCTTCTCTGGCTTCTCCCTGTGAAGTGGACACTGCTCCTTGGGGACCCATCATTGTCGTCGTTGTCTTTCTTCAGAACTGAAAGCACGGAGCTGCTCTGGAAGGGGCTCAGGCCGCAGGGGGTCAGCAGGCGCCTGTTCTCTGCTGCTGGTGTAGCTTTAGGTCGGGGCCGAGCGGTTGGATTCTGTGACTTAAAGGTGGACCCCACGATCCACCGCAGGTCCCTTAGGCGGCTCCGGACGCCCGGGATCTCCAGAGCACTTCGAGCACGGTTCTCGGCGAGGGGAGGGAGATTCCACCACGCTCCTCCAGGCTCACACGGCGGCTCCCTCCACCTGGTGGAGGCTGATTCCGAGTACCCGGGCGCCCCGAGGGGAGTTAGCTTTTCGAGAACATCCTCTCTTTTCATAACTGTTGTGTTCTGACATACTCATTTATCTTCTGCTGATAGTGCTGGGGATGGGGGCATACGCCTGTAATCATAGTGCTTTGGGAAGCTCAGGCAGCAGCATCGTGAGTTTGAGCCCACTTGGGGCAACTTAGTGGCCTAGCAAGACCCAGTCTTCAAATACGTGGAAAGGGCTGGGGATGTGACTCAGTGTGAGGGGTCCTGGGTTCAGTCCTTGTTACACCCCAAAGAAGGAGGGGGCTGAGGTGTTCCATGTCCTTCTCAGCTTGCTTCGGAGTTGTTCCTTCATTAATATTTGGAAGTTACTGAATCCTAACGTGGCCGAGTCTCTAAATTGACCCCTCATCATCCGCAGTTATGAGGAGCTCAGTGCCGAGCATGGCCGCTGTGGGGGGGGTCACGCCTGTCCCCTTCCTGGAGAGCGAGCGCTGACGCCGTGCTCACTAGGCTTAAAGCAGCGAGTCCCTCAGCTTCCCACCGGGTGTTCCTTTAGCAGACCGTGCGCTGTCTTCTGGGCACACAGTAATTAAAGTGCGGTTTGTCTGGGGTCTCCACCATGCGCCTCGTCTCTGCTGCGGCCCGCCTGCCCAGAGCCGCGCACTTGGGAGTGAGAGCGGAGGGGCCATCATTGCAGCCCTGGCCCCGCAGTAGGCCCTAGCGGCTTCCTGGGGAAAAGGTCCTGGTGTGGGCGCAGGTGTCCCCTTGCTCGCCCTGGGTTTGGCTGTGGCCCCAGCTGCGCCGGGGTTGGGGGCCTGTGCCAGCAGATGTCAAGCTAGGCCTGGCTGTCCTCTCCTTGGGTCAGGGCATCCCTGGCCTCCCGAGGCCTGTTCTCTCCTGAGCTGCTTCCCTGCCACGTTTGCTTTCGGTTCCCTCAGTGGCCACCCTGAGAGGTCCCCACCCTGTGCCCCATGGTTTCTCTGTGGGGATCAAGGGCAGAGAAGTGACGAGATTTCCCAGTCAGGCCGTCATCCCGCTCTTGCAGAGTACCAGCAGGGTGGGGTGGGCGGGGCCCGCAGTGTGACGGAGCGGCGGGGAAGTGTGTCCCGTAGAGACGGAGGACGGCGGGAGTGTGCACGTCCAGGCTTGCCTTGCCAGGCGGCCCCGTGTCAGGAAAGAGCTCAGCCCACTCTCCGTGCTTGGGAAGTGTGAATAGCTTGTGATTTGCCTGGAGCGCAGTTTATTAGAGCTGCTTGTGTTTTTTTTTTTTTCTTTTTTTGGTGGGGAACACAGATAGAGTCTCACTATGTAGGTTCACATGGGCTTTGAACTCACCATGTAGCCCAGGCTGAAGTTGAACTAGTGGCAATTCTCGTGTCTGTGCCTCCCAAGAGCGGGGTTACTGGCGTGCGCTACCACGCCCTGCGGGCTGCCTGTGTTGGGTGCAGCCGCACTCCCATGTAGGGTTACCGAGGAGCAGGCCTGGGTTTGAGGAGTCAGTGGAACTGTCAGGGCCAACCAGTGGCTTACAGAGAGCTTTTTCCGATCCTTTTTGCGGTCCAGGAAGTTTATATTTATAATCCATGGACAAGCTATTGGAATTCTAGTGAGTTATTCTGATTTACCACTTCAGTGCAACCCATTGTAGAATAAAAACACTGAACATATTTGTAGTTATGGGGAGCCAAGGAGTCTTAAGTCCAGCCATGAGGATGGCTGGTACAAAGGCCTCGACCCGAGGCCAACCCCGGGTTTTGTTCATTCATGAAGAAGGGAGTGTCTTGAGGATGAGTGACTGAGAATCACATGCGGTAGGTGAGTGCCCTGAGCTGGGCTAGGTGGGGGGCCTGAAATCACCTCTGTAAACGCGGAGAGAAGGATCTGCAGAAAGAGTGATCTGCGTAACACAGTTAAGATAGTAGCTGATGTTTTGGGGTCGGTGCTCCAGCTCTGACGGGTAATGTTTCAAGCCCCAGGAACTCATAGCCTCTGACTTGAGGCTCGATCCCAGCCAACAGCGTGGAGCACTGGCTCTTCGTCCTCCCTCGTCCCAGCTCACCCAAGGGCACAGTAGGATGGGGTCCGGGGAAGCACTGCCTGCTGTCTTCAAAGACTTACCATCAGCACCTCACCTGGGCTGATTTGCATTGCTGAAAGCCAACTGAAAGGATGAGGAGAAGTCCTAGCCAGCACTGCACACATCAGGACGTGGAAATAGGGCCCAGTGTAGCTAACGTGGAGACGATTGCTCGTCCTTCAGGGAGCCGCCCAGGGTCCTCCGCAGCAGCGCTTCCTCCTCGGCTCCGGGGCAGACCCGGCTGGCGTGGGGCTTCTTCAGATCAGAGGGAGGGAAAGAGAAGTGTGTTAATTGTTCGCTTTTGATTTTTTTCCCCTGAAAAATGGTATATTCTGAATTTTATCTCATATTTTAAGATATTTTTCCAAATTTTTTCATTTTCCTTTTTATTTATGGTGTCTGGCGAAGTTTCTTAGATTTCTTCATAGATGTTAGGTTTCCGAACTATTTTATATATTTCTGATTGCGCTCATGGTATTTTTCAAAATTTATTGAGGTAGTGAATTACCTGCAGAAGGTTCCTCTTCGTCTTCAGATGTAGTTCCTTTTCTGCCTTCATACTTGCAGCTCTTTCCTGCCTGTGTGACAGTGTTGGCTGGAATTTCTCGAACTCTCCCATGTTAGCGTCACGTTTGACTAGCAGATGCCTCCAGCCACCCAGCTTGCTGCTGCTGGTGTGACGTAGAGCCTGTGGTGACATGAAACGCCTTTCCTGGGAGTTCGAGCAGGAAGGGACTTGGGGTTTCTCTCAGCTGTTACCCTGTCCTCCACCCCCGCTTTGGGACTGCTGCGTTTTGCTGACGGTACCTTCCTGAGGCGGGTGAAGGGCTCTGTGAGTGACACTGGCCTGCCCCTGTGCATTTTCCATAACCAGCCGGGCCGTGAGGCTTGTCAGGCCAGCGCTCGGGGTCGGCTTTGCCGCGCCACAAGGAGCCCCTGCCTGTGTTCCGCGCTCTGGCTTGTGTCTGAAAGTGATCTGCACCTGCATCTCACCGAGACATAGCTGTTTTATGGCACTTTTAGCTTTTCTTTGCCTTTGTTTTCTCGAGTCACTTAAATTGTTTTGTTTCTTAACTGGAGAATTAAGATAGTTCTTGTCACCTTGAGTTTCTTTCATGGTTTTCTTTCTCATTTACTGAATTCAGCTCTTCATTCCCTTGCATTTGTTCTTTCCCGTTTAACAGTAAAGAAGTGCTAAAATTGTGAGTTGCTGCTGTTTTACTACACAGCGTATGCTATTGTTGTGTTCCCTGTGTTGTTCTCTTTTCTTTTTTTTCTTTTTTTCTTTTTTTTAACTAGGAATCGAACTCAGAACTGTGCTTGCCAGGCAGGCGCTTGTGCCACCGAGCTATATCCCCGCCCCCCTTGTGTTTTCTGTGAAAATTGAAATTTTGTTTTGAGTTCCTTATTGATCTGAAATGAATATCAGAATTTCTTAATTTACTGATATTGACGTTTATACTTTTTTTTGTCGTTTTGAGACAGGGTCTTGCTATGCATTTCAGGCTGGTCTTGAACTCACTGTGTAGCTAGCTAAGGCTGGTCTTGAACTCGCAGTGATCCTCCTGCCTCAGCCTCCTGAGTGCTGGGATGACAGGCATGTGCTCCCACGCCCAGCTAGACATTTATGCTTTAGTGAATGATGGCTCATCTTCTTGGGAGACTTGAGAACTATTGGGGCTTTGTTAACTCCTGGGCAGTTTGAGGCTTCCTTTATAGAGTATTTGTTGGGAGCTGAGTAAAAGGAGTCATTGTTTTATTTTATTTTATTTATCTTTTGTGTTTTTTTTTTTTTTGGTTTTTCTCCGGTACCGAGAACCGAACTCACGACCTTGCGCTTGCCAGGCAGGCGCTTTTGCCACTGAGCTAAATCCCCAGCCCCTATCTTTTGTGTTTTTGAGACAGGGTCTCACTATGCAGTTCAGGCTGGCCTTGAACTCACATGGTAGCCCACACTGGCCTCTAATCGGAGTGATCCTCCTGCCTCAGCCTTCAGAGTGCTGGGATTACAGGCGTGCGCCACCACGCCCAGCCGATTCATCCATTTTGATATTTTCAACTGTGTCAGTCACACTCCCCACCCCAGCTCTGGGTGCCTAGCTGAGGGTCTCCAGTGTACTCAGCAAGTGCTCCAGCCTCGTTGCACTGAGCTGGCCCCAGTCTCCCACAGCGGGGTCCTGAACCCCCGTATGGGCAGTGTGCTGGGGTCCAGGAGGAGCCGGGCCACGCAGACGCTTGGTGAGGCACCGTGGCTGCTGGAAGAGAGAGGCTCCCGCGGACAAGGCTCCCCGCGTCTGTCTGGGTCTGAGTCCTGCTGCACGAGCTGCTCGGGAGTTCTTTGCCTCTGAGTCCGGTCCTGGGTTTGTACCGTGGGTCTCGGGTTTGCAGCGCTTATCCGGAGAAAGCCTTCCCTTTGTCGCCTGCTGGTCTTGAGGGGACGAGAGGTGTGCTCCGGGCTTTGCACACAGCGGCATGTGTGGCGTGGCTTCTCTGTGAACCGCGTGTGGCATCACCAAGGTGAGGCAGCCCAGGCGGGAAGGTGGCGCCCTCCTGACCCTGCCTGAGCCCAGCCCCTGCGGTTGGAGCCCCTGTCCCTCCTGCTCCAGAGCCTGGGCTGCTCCCTCCCCAGCTCACGGCGGCAGCTCAGGCTGTGAGCAGGATTGCTCGCCCATCGCAGCGTGTTTCTGTTCCTCCTTTCCTGGAGGTCGCGCTGTGCCGCGTCCATTCTGTGCTCGCTGGCGCGTGTTGGCCCGGCTCCTGCCGTGTGGGTCTAGCTGTTTGCTGTGGCGTCCCCCCGTCGTCTGGATGGGTTTTGAACTGCCTAAGTGGAGCGCTCTGAGAGGGGAGCTTGCGTGTGCGTCCGGAGTGGGGTGTTGGTTGTCCCCCATCTCTACCTCTGTGTACACAGTGCCTCCTCGGCATCCCTCAGCCCCCAGTCTGACTGCCGCTGCCCCGGCCCACCTGCTCCCTTGGGAGTCCTGGTGCCCCCGAGAAGGGCTGGGCCACCGCTGCCTCAGCCTCTCCTGGGACTGTGTCCCCTCCGATCCTGGACTCTGCCCGAGGCCGCGCCGCCGCTCCTGTTGTTTTCCTCGTCTCTGTCTTGGGCTCGCGGCTCTCCTCCTCAGCAGACCCTCCTGACTCCTCTGTTCACCGTGCGCAGGGTCTGCGGGTCTCGAGGACGGCAGCAAGACCCAGAGCGAGTGCTGCCCACGACCTCTGCCCCGCAGCCCGGGCCCGGAGTCGGTAGTTGTTCACATGGCCTTCACTGGTGCGGGGCCTGCTGGTCCCTGCCCTCGGCCCCGGCTTTGTCTTCCTCCCTGGGCAGCAGGAGGGTTTTACCCCGCTTTGGTGTTCCTTCCCCAGGTGGACTGTGTTCTTCCTCGTGGCCCCGGGCTGCCACTAGAGTTGTGCTGGGCCTGCCAGCTGCTGTCCCGAGAGTGGGACGGGCAGGCAGCGGGAGGCTGCTGTGGGTCGCCCTCCGCGCGTGTGACGCTGCTGCAGACCCGAGGCTTGCGGTGTTGTCACTGCACACACGTGTCCGGGAGGACAGTCACTGACGTTAGTCCCGCTGCACCTCCAGCCCTGACTAATGACTGCTGGCCACTGCCACATGGAGGCCCCGAGGGCCCCCTTCCACTGCAGACACAAGGCCAGGGTAGTTTGCCGTCCACGCCGGGGCTGCACTTCGGTCTGCACAAGGCTTGTCCTGGATTCAGGGCCCTACACCGCCGCACCAGCTCCCCAAGAGGCCTTGGGGCTGTCTGAGGTGGCTGGGGCTCCCTCCATGGGATCCCCCAGGGTGCTTCTTGGCCTGGGCATTCAGAGGAGGCGCTTTTGGAGCACGGACTCCAGGGTATCTTCTGGTCTCCCTGCGGTGTCGTAGTCTGGTCCTTTCTCGTACTCAGCTTTGAAAAGAAGCACTTAATGGTATATGTTTGCAGAAGGAAAATTTTATTTTTTAATTAGTTCACATTTATTGGGTTTTTGTTTTTTGCTTTTTTTTGACTTTTTGAGACAAGGTCTCAATATGCAGTTCAGGCTGGCCTTGAGCTCACTTTGTAGCCCAGGCTGGCCTCGAACTCGCAATGATCCTCCTGCCTCAGCCTCCTGAGTGCTGGGATTACAGGTGTGTGCCACCACGCCTGGCCGTTTACTGTATATACTGCTTATATTCACTGTTGAACGTTGGTACATGTATGCAACACTCCTTCATTCATTTTACATCTTCCCCTTCTATTCACCTCAGGAACATTTTAAATATGTCTGTTGCATTGGTCTCTTAGGATATGCTCATCCTTCTCTGCACTGTTTGGTTTAGATTATGTATTTTCAAAACACGATCTCACCATGTAGTTCAGGCTGCCCTTGAACTCACTGTGTAACCCAGGCTGGCCTCAAACTTGAGGAAATTGTCCTGCATCAGCCTCACAAGTGCTGGTATTACAGGCTGCACCACCACCCTGGCTTTTCGGTTTTCTAATACTGTCTTTTTGCCGTGGGGTCTCCCTGTGTAGCCTGGCTGGACTCAGAGTGCTGGGCTCAGGTGACCCACCTCCCGAGTCCCGTGAGTATAGGAGGGTATTCCCGCCCCCACTGGCCTCCTTTCTCGCCTCGGTGAAAGCCACGAGTGCGCACCAGGCCAGAGAGTAGCTTAGACCCGAGTATTTTCTAGGGTAGGTGGTAAAGAGCGCCAGCGAAAACACAGGTCCGGGGTGTTTTCAGAAAAGCTGCCGGCCGACAGCCGGAGACTCCTCTGCTCGGGGCTGTCACTCTCTCACCCCGTTTCAGAGTCGTCAGTGGGAAATGGTATCAAGCATGTCAGTTTCTAGTTTAATTGAAAATATTACTAAATGCTGTCCTAACCCTCTGTGAATTCTAGGAATCTTGGAAAGCAAAAGGCTGGACCTGGTTAAAGAGAAAACCATCAACCAGACCATTGGCCACGTGGTTTACCATGCCGCGGACCTGCCCGTCTGGTGGCAGGTCCCCCAGTACGTGCTCATCGGCATCAGCGAGATATTCGCCAGCATCGCAGGTGAGCTGCCTGCTGGACGGCGGAGGAGCCCCGCAGCCTCAGCGCCCGGGGAGGCGGGGCTGGGCAGTGTGTTGCAGCCGCCAGTTTTGGTAGGGAATTGTGGCTTAGCATATGCCTTTATAAGTAAACACTAATCCTGTAACTGAAGTTTTTCCTGTTCTATGTAAAAATAGTCTTCCTAGAAATATCTCCATGAAGTCATTACTTGCCTCATCAGTGCCACAGGAAGGAAACAGAGGGTCACTGGTGTGCGTGCCGGGCCTGGGCCCCCGGGGGAAGCCCCTGACACCTCGGTCCCGGCTCGCAGCTTCCGGCTGCTGGTGCAGGTTCATGTACAAGCGAGTGTCCTTCCAGGGCGTGTTGTCACAGGCCCCCGTCACTGTAGGGAGGTGCTGCGCTGGCGTGGCGTGGATAAGCGTGTCAGGGCAGGTCTGCCACCGGCTGCTGGAGCGAGCAGGGACAGGAAATGAGGGAGGGCGGGGGTCCTCATCGCCCCGAGAACCCCCCCGGAAGTGCCAGTGAGTTTGTGCGGGTCGTCGCCCCAGGCCGGGCCTTCGCTTAGGGTTGTTGCATCTGCGTCCAGTTACTCTGGGAGTCTGAACTGTCCGTGAACCTGCTGCAAGCGTTTGGCGGTATACCGAACTGCCCTTGAAGTAGAGTTCTGGAGCAGATCTCCCGATGGAGTGTGTGCACTTGACTAGAAGTCCCATTCCTTGAGAAGAGATGAAAATTTTGTTTCCTTAACTGACTCCCGAAGGAGCACAGTCCTCAGAGCTCCCCTCTGTGGCTAGCGTCCGAGGGCCCTGTGGCTCCCTGGGCCGGCGGGCCGGCGTGTGGGGCGGGTCTGCCGCCCAGCGACCTTCCTTCTCCTCCCCCAGGTCTGGAGTTCGCCTACTCGGCTGCCCCCAAGTCCATGCAGAGCGCCATCATGGGCCTGTTCTTCTTCTTCTCGGGTGTCGGGTCCTTCGTGGGCTCAGGGCTGCTGGCGCTGGTGTCTCTCAAAGCCATCGGGTGGATGAGCAGCCACACGGACTTCGGTAAGGGCCAGTCCCTCCGTCCTGCAGCGGCATGGCCGCTGTGGTGTGGGCGTGACCGGAGCCGTTCCCCTGTGGGTGGTGTCCTGCCACGGCCCCCTGGGTGACGGCCAGGCTGCCTGGCGGCTGCCGGCCCCACAGATGTCCTGGGTGGTGCGTGGCCGCCTGCCCCTCGTGTCTGGAGCCGTTGTCATGGAGACAGCTGCATCACCAGGCCCTTTTTGTTTGTCTTTGTCTTTGTGAGACAGGGTCTCGCTGTGCAGTGCAGGATGGCCTTGAGCTCACTTTGTAGCCCAGGCTGGTCTCGAACTCGCAATGATCCTCCTGCCTCAGCCTCCCGAGTGCTAGGTCATAGTCGTGCGCCACCATGCCCAGCCCCCTTTTTAAAAATTCACTTAATTTTTTCCTGACAACCCAGTGTTCTGACACTAAAAGGACTGGAGTAAGTTGACTGTGGATTTTAATAAACAGATTACTCCTGGTCAGTCGTCATAGCAATTACAGTTAACGCCATAGACCACAGCTTGGGTGCTGAGCAGGGTGTCAAGGGCACCCGTCTGCGGCCTGCGGGCGGGCAGGGCAGCCTGGTGGCAGGAGCCGTGCTCTGAGGGTCTCCTGGTGGCGCCAGGCTCTTGTCCCCGTGTGCACGCTGAGTGCTGATGCCAGCGGGGCTCCGCACCCCTCCGGCGGGGAGAAGGCGCTGGTTTACAGGACCTCAGCCCCCTCCCCTGTGGAGAGGACAGGAGAGGACAGGAGAGGACAGGGCTCGGGCGAGGTGGTGGGCCTTCCGCAGGCGCACGCCTGGACCCTTCCTTCAGCGGGCGCGGGCGTGGCGGGTACAGCGTGGCGCCCGCGGGGGACCGAAGCGGCTGTGCTCTGCTCCGTGACTTCCCCCTTCGGGAGCAGGGTGCTGGGGGAGGGAGAGCAGAGTGTTCAGCGTGTGCTGACGGCGGGTGTGTGTCAGGTGAGGGTGCCAGGCCAGAGGACGGTCAGCGGGCGCTGCGGGCACGAGCTGCCCTCCCGGGGCTGGACTCGGGTTCCGGCTGTCGGCCTGGCTGGGCGGGCGCAGCGTAGTGGGCTGCCCGGTTGGCAAAGCGTGCTGCGGGTCGGGGCCTCCAGCGAGGCCTCATGTCCCTCCGCCGGGCACAGGGTGTGCACCCCGGGCTGGGGCAGGTTCTCCTTGTCCCCTCGGACCATCTTGCCGTCATCAGCCCTGTGCACGGCGGCACTGTGGCCGCAGGCGGCTCCTTTGAACTGGTCACTGGGACGAGCGCCCCGCGGGAAAGGCAGGAAGCAAAGACGCGGCCGTCAGATGCGCGCTTGATGGCGGAACGCGGGCTGGCCTGTGGCCCCTCACAGTCCCGTCTGAGGGAGAATAGGAAGAGTTCCTGGGGGCTCTGTCCCCAGCTCTTCGCTCTCCTGGCGGCTCTGTGTGGAGCCCGGAGCTCATGTCACCGCCTGGGGTCACTGCCGCTGCCCGCGAGGCTCTTGCTGCGCCGGGCGAGAGGCGCCCGCAGTGGTCCTCACCAGCGGTTGTCCCGGGGCCCAGCGGGCGGGTGGCTTCTCTGCTAGCTGGAGACAGCGCCCGTGCTGTGTGTGCAGAGCTGTGGCCCTCTGCTTGGTGGCCCTGGGAAAAGGCGCTTGATGGGAGGGGCTGTGCGGGAGGACGCGGCCTCACCCCTCTCCCTGCCCCGCAGGTAACATCAACGGCTGCCACCTCAACTACTACTTCTTCCTGCTGGCCGCCGTCCAGGGAGCCACCCTCCTGCTGTTCCTCATCGTGTCTGTGCGCTACGACCGGCCGCGGGCTCGAGACGGCGTGCCCACCAGTGCCAGGGCCTGACCCAAGCTGGGCACAGAGGTGGCGGCCCGGGTGGCTGCGAGCCGCTGGCGTCCCCGAGGGCCTGCGCCTGGTCCCCAGGGCGGGCCTCTTTCCCCGCCCACGGGCGAGGTCGGTGCCTACCGTGGGCGTCTCCAGCTCGCCCGGCCCTGCCGCGGGGGACAGGCGGGTCTACGGTGTGCTGCTGCTGTCGTCCAGTCCAGTCTCTGCTAATCCTCTTCTGCAGAACCCGTAGACAGAGCGGGACTTGGGGGACCGTGGGGTGTTGGCATCCTGATTCCTTAAGTGTCACTACTTCCTCCCCCAAGCCAAGTAACCTTCCCTTCTAAACATTAGCAACATTTACTTGTGCTGAGGAGTGGGACGACTCTTCTCCCAAACGAAAGCGCTGTTACGTCCTGTGAGTTCACGTGAAGGTCACGTGTATGGTTCCTGCAGAAGCCACAGATCTTGCCGCTGCCAGGTCCTTCGCTGCAGTTCGGTAGTGTGTGTGTGTCATCTGCTGCTTATTTCTGAGGCTGCCGATGGGATTCCTCCTGACGAGTGGGAGCTGATCGCTGTCCTCCGTCAGGCTGCAGAGCACCCCAGGGTCCGGCTGCACCTCGTGGTCCTGCCTGCGGTCCTGCTGTGGGCACCAGGGAGGCGGAGGCCAGCTCGGGGAGGGTGTGCGCTCGGCGGACAGAGTTGATGGAAAGGAAGAGAACGGAAAGCCCTAACAGTGAACGTGCTGTTGGCCTGGTATCGTTACTGACCTGTCGGGGTCTGAGTTTGTAACTAGACTGTTCTGTGTGTGTTGCTGTATTTTTGGTATATTTTTGTTATAAAAGCATCTCGAATGTGAGGCCCAGAACCAGTTCCCTGAGTGGTTTGTCCACATCTGTCATCAGCTCAGCCTTGACACACACGTGGTCGGGTGTAGCAGGTTCCCGGGTGGGAGATCTGGTGAAGGCCTTGCTCCTGGGCCTGGCCTGGCTGCTGCAGGCTGGGTTCTGAAGCACTCTATGTGCAGGAAATGAGAGGCCCTCCCCCCGCGAGCTGCAGAGACCGTGCTGGGGGCCCTCTCCCAGTGAGCTTGAGTGCGGATGGCGCTGTTGGTGTCGCTCGAGAGGTTTGAATCCCTCAGGGAGCTGGACAGCACTGCTCAGGAGGTCAGTTGCTCTCCAGAGGTGCAGGCTGTACCCTCAGGTGTCACACCCTGGGTGGCTCAAACGCTGGAGTTACCTGGAGGGAGTCCGGCAGTGGCAGGACCCCCTCCCAGCCCTGCAGCCCACTGATGCCCATGCTCCAGCGTCGTGCAGGGGCGTTGTGCTGGGAGAGTTGCTGGGGAGACCAGCCACGGACCGCTTGGCAGCTGTGCCACCTCAAGGAGCCCCGCAGCCTCCTGCTGGGGCGTCCGGAGAACCTTCGCTCTGCATGTGGACACTGACCTTGGTGACAGGTGTCTCTCACCCTAATGAGACCATCTGGGGGCGCCCCCAGCTGCTGGGGTATGAGGAGCGGCTGGAAGTGGAGGCGACCACCAGCGGTCTCTGTAGAACCAAAGCGAGGTGGGGGCTCTGGAGGTGTCTGCAGGCCCAGCACCCCGCTCTGCTTCCGCCCGGCCCTGTCCCAAGCATTTTCCCCAGCGCTCCTCCCTGGGCCCTGTGCAGCCTCCTTGCGGTGCGGGGTAAACATAAGCAAGGGGCTCCCGGCCTCCGGGGCTGCTCCGGCCAGGGTGAGCCAGACAGCCCCAGCTGGGCATGGGGCCCCCGCACGTGCGCTCATGCTGACCTGCAGGTTGCCTGTGTCACACCGAATGACGGGACACCCAGATGGCGTCTGCCAGGCCCTGGCGTCTGCGCATGCTTCCCTCCGGCGCCACAGAGTTGTTTTCGCCTCGGCCAGCCTTTCCGTTGCCAGCTGAACGAAGACTGCAGTGACCAGTGGCACCCAGTGGCACTGAACAAACAGGAGATGGCTTTGTCTGTGCCCGAGCCTCTGTGTGTGGCTGCGGGCACTCAGGACTTGACTGCGCTCTGTGTGACAGCTTCCTCTGTGGAAGGTGGGTGGGATGCAGCTTCATTGACCCACGGCGCCGGGACAGCAGCGGAGCGGAAGTCCCACTGCTGGGACACAGACCCGGACACCCACACTTCAAAGGGTGGGAGGGTTACTTGGCTCACGGTGTCGGGGGCTCAGTCCAGGTGGGCTGCGCCAAAGCAGGCGCGTCACGGTGCGGGGTGTGGAGGACCAACCCTGCTCAGCTCGTGGCTGGAGGCAGAGCAGAACCACAGAGAGGGCAGGGCAGGGCCTGTGAGAGTGCCCAGGGTCGTGCCACCGCGACCCTCCCAGACACCCAGAGGTGAGCCTTCCCGTCCCCCGGGCGTTGCTCAAGCCGGTCAGGTTGGCATGGAGAGTAACCAACCCAGAGCGGCACAACTCGGCGGGCACTTGTGACCCTCCTGGTGTCTGAGGGCCGTGAGGTGCAGTCAGGACAGCCGTGCAGGCTGCACTCTGGGTCCTACTCAGTGTGCTAGGAGGCCCCGCTGCCCGCTTCCCACCGGGGGAAGTGTAGTGGGCAGTGTGGGGTGACCGGTCATTGCAGCAGCTCCCTGGGCCCTGCCAAAGCCCCGAGCACTGCTGAGTCCTGCTCATAAAAAATGGATGCTCTCCAGGATTGCCTGACTGTCCACTTGGTACAGAATGTTCCGTGACTTGAAAATCGAAGCACATTAAAGAGTGAAGAGCTGTAATAATGTGAAATTGCTGTGCACCACAGAACGATTCGCTGCTATTAAAACGGACCAAATCCTTTATGCGGATCCTCAAGTAGAACAGAGTCACTTTAGTGGTCCTGTTAAAATGTTCTTCTAACACTCTTCACGAATAGGGTCTTTTAAAAGAAATGACACGTGAGAAGTGCTGTGCTGAGTTACAGATATGAAAAGTGCGAAGTCAAAGGGAGTGATCTGAGAAACAACACAGAGATGAATAGCGGTGTGGACTGGCCTCAGCTCATTTCCAGGTTAGCCGACGTTGGACTTGGTGACGCCGCTTGGGGAGGAAGCCGCCCAGGGCCCTGCTGTTCCTTGCTGGAACCGTCTTCCTGACGGTTCCCTGCTGTTCCACCTGGAGCTCCGGGGCCGGTTGTGTGTGACACAGCCAAGGCTGGCTCTGGCCTGGAGCCCAACCCTGCTTTTCTGACCACTGCCCACGGGTGCAGGACCCAGCTTGAGGGGTTGTGAGGGCCTGGACGGGCCAGGAGTGGTGCCGCCAGTTCCCTAGGCAGGAGGGTCACAAGTTAAAGCCCAGCCTCGGCAGTTTCGTGAGATCCTGCCTCAAAATAAAACTGTTGCCTGTGTGTTTATTTCTCCCTGGAGCTTTCTGGTGTGGAGTCACTCTTCTTCTACGAAGTCCTGGCCCGAGGTGCATCCCCTGCACACCTCCAAAGCAGCTTCTGTATGTGTGGCTGCAGTCATCGGAAGTACGACCCCAGGTCCCGCCCAGGCAGTGGGCTGTCCTGACCGTGGAATATGATCTGCATGGGTCACACACTCGCTGAGCAGACGGAGCCCCGGGGGCCCTTGGAGGAGAGGTCACCCGTGTCTGGCGGCCATGCTGCTCCGACAGGTCAGAAAAGGGGCACTGGAGGGCGCAGCAGGCCTCTTTTTCAAGACTACAGGAAATGCTGGGGGTGTAGCTCAGTGACAGCGCCAGCCCAGCAAGTGCAAGGTCATGATTTCGTTTCCGGTACCAACAAAATTAAAAGGTGAGGGAGTGAGCTTCCCAGAGTTGCAGCTTGTGTGTCATAGGCGTGCTGCTGCGCTGGCCCGACTTGGAGCCACAGAGAAGAGGAGCAGCCCCTGCACGCCACACATCCTGCCTGGTGAGGGGACGCCATCCCCGAGAGGCTGCTCCAGGCCCTGAGGAAAGCGTGGGGACCACCCCTGGGTGGGGTGTGTGCGAGCTGGGCGCCGGGCGGCAGAAACCACACCACACAGGGAGGGCGTTGCGCCGGGGTGAATAGCGTCCCCCCAAGACTCCTATCTTGGAAACTGAACATGGCCTTAGTGGAAATGATCTTCCCAGTTTGGAATCAAGTTATAATGCTGTCAAACCGGGTTAGAGTGTGGCCTTAACCCAATACACGGTGACCGGGGGCCCTAAACGTGGACAGGGACAGGTGGCAGAGCAGAAGTGGAGCAGAGGTGACTAAGGGCCACCAGGGCACTGGGTGGCGCCTGGGCGCCAGGGCAACGGGCCGGGCGACGAGCCGGAGGCAGCTGTGAGGGGTGCTCCGAGCCGCCCGGCTGTGACGTCGTTACCGCGGCTGCGGCAGGATCTGCGTTCCTGAGGGTCGTCCCGATGGCCTCTGAGTGATGGAAATTACTCTCTTCCGGCTCTGTGGGTCAGAACCAGTGTCGGCAGGGCCCCAGGGAGCACCTGTGGCAGCTTCTGCACCTCGGAGCCAGCAATCTGTCACCACCACCACCCCTTTCAGGCCTTGGCCTGGGCCAGCCGTCCTGGGAGGTGGGGTGCGGGCACCGTGGGTGCTGCCCTTCTGGCAGTAGCCAGCCGCCCAGCTGCAGCCAGAACCCAGACAGTGAAGCCACTGGCACGCCCTGGCGTGTCGTCGCCCCTGTGGTGCAGGGCAACGCCTTCCTGCAGTCAGCGAAGCTGCTCCCGCTTCCTCCGGGACGGGAGTGCTGGTGACCGCCAAGATTAAAGTTTGCTGAACTCATTGAGCGCAAAGACAGGCACACCTGCCCTAGGCAGAGGAGTTGGGAAAGGCCCAGGATCTCCGGAGGCCGCCCGCAGCGCATCGGCCTTGCTGCCTGGTTCCCTGCTCGCGCGCGGTCTGGGCGTCCACGCGGTGCCTCCTGCAGTCGGGTTGCGGCAGGCCGTTTGCATCGGAGTGGTGAGACCTTTGCCTGCTTACTGAGGCGTCCCAAGCCGCACCCCGCACTCGGCGCGCTGACCAGACGCTCGGCCTGCCAGGGAGCTGGCTGGGGTGCTGCCTCTCCCTTTGCTCTGCGGTTTACCATCCATCGGGGAACTGGAGACTCTTCAAAGCTGCAGACGATGGGGAAAGGGTTTGGTACCGCGGGTACCGCTAGGGTCAGCAACCACCTGCACAAAACCTCTGCCAGAGGTGTGTGGCGCACGTGTGGCGTGCATACCCATGTGCGTACCCCACACGTACCCATGGAAAGTGTCACACGTGACAAACACACGTGTCCACACCTGGGCGGGGTGTGTGAGAGCTGGGCGCCCGGCCACAGAAGCCACACCGCACGGGCCACACATGTGGTGCCCTGGACACGTGTGTTTGTCGTGTGTGACGTTTCCCATGGGTACGCGGTGCCTCAGCTACACCGAACTGACCCACGTGCCTCACCACACATGCTAATTTTTGTGATGAAAACACTTAAAAGTGACTTCCTTGTTAGGTCGTAGGAGCCCAGCGCACTGTCGCTAACTGCAGCCCCACGCTGTGCAGCAGCTCTCCGGAGCCCAGTCCTGTTTACAAGCTGTGTGTGAAATTCTGGCCGGCCTGGGGAGGCTGAGTCACTGCCGCGCACTCCAGGGTGTCTGCACCCTCCCGCCCAGGGCCTGTGAAGGTCGCCCTGCTGATGAGGACGCCGCCGTGTTAGTGTCCTGCAGATGAGGCGGCTCCCTGCTTCTGCACCTCACTGCGGGAGTGAGCGAGAGGGAGGTGGGCGGGGCCCTGGGGTTTGGAGAAGGCGGGGGAGGAGCGGCAGCCAGGAACCCAGCCCCGAAGCTGGTGGGGTGGGCAGGCAGATTCCCTGGCTCTCTGGGAGGAGCTGCCCCGCCCACACCTGGTGTTAGCCCAGAGCGTCTGTCCCGCCG